AAGATCAGTTTCTTATTGATTGTATTTGGCTGCATATCTCACTGGAGTTAAGGAGCACTATAGCTCTGGTCACCCAAGACATATGATTCCTTGTAAACCAATCGCAACTATAAACTATTTTTCCCATTTTATTTTGTTTTTCTGAAATGTTCTGCAATTGGATCACTTCATGTATAATTGAACTTTCCATCTCCATTATGCTACAAGTGCAGACCCTCTACTAGTCAATTTTTTTGCTAGATATGTGTTGTTATGCTACAGAAAGGAAAAACGACTTGGCTATGTGTTGGGGATTTATTTATTCCCAACCTTGCATAATACTCCCACAGTAAAGAAATTTATTTTTTGTGTTTTGTTTACTGCGTTACGCTCTTATATTTTTTTTACGTAGGGAGTACGTGCGTGGGAAATCATGGATTCCCTTATATGTGTATATCTGTTTCCGACATAGGAGTGTTGGACCATTCATTATTTCCGGGATCTCCAAAAGAATATGGCGCCTAAGGACCAGCTTCTTTTGGCTGTTGGTGGTGCTGTTTCTTGTAGCCAAGCCAAGCCAAGCCATCGTGGGGCTGTTTCTTGTGTGAACCATTAATAAGCTAGCCAAGCCATGCATCGTGGGGCTGTTTCTTGTGTGAACCGAAATTCCAAGACTAGCTTGCATCGTCTATCTATCTATCTATCTATAAAAAGGACCGGACCGGACCCGTCGACCTCAGTCTCCTCCATGTTCCTTTGCTCTAGTGAGCGAGCGAAACCTTTTTGCCCAAACCAGTTGAGCAATCCATGACTGACGCGGCCGTGTGACGTGCCAAGCATCCATCTTCATACCCCTGACTCGTATCAATGGCATGTGCTATGTGCGTTCCATTTGATCTTAATTTGCCATCGTGGTCTTGCCCTCTTCACTGCTGGCCAATGCAGTGCACATGCATGGCGCTGGTATGATCCAGTCGGGAAGCACAAGGACACTGACACCACCCACGGCCATCTTCGGTCCGCTGCTGGCTATTTCCTTGTGTTTTGCCCATCAGTTCATCCCGATCTTGTCTGCAGCCTCCGATCCCTGCCCTAGAGAACCTCATCGACATACGCCGGCCTAGCCCTTTGATCTTCGAACCCCAAGTTTAATCTTGGATCTTGTTTCCTTTCAGTAGATTAGATGGGTTAGTTGGTTTTTTATTAGACTAGCAAAAAGATCCGTGCATTGCAACGGGAGAAAAAAAACCACACACTCTTAATTTATAAAAAAAATCTATTATCTGAGAACTTGTAGCTACGGCCCAAACAAAGATGGTCTTAACCTATAAAAGCGCAGTTTAAGATTCTACATGTGTTCTATTTCAACATGGCTTGCATGTAGATTTAATCCATACAAAGAAACGGGTAAGATCATGCATTTATTCATGTCAAGTTCAAGAATCACCAACTTAGGGTAACTCTTGAACACTTTTTTCACATGCATATTTCTTAAATACATGAAGAGTTGTTAAAAGATACATGATTTTTCAATCATAAAAGGAGATTTTTTTTGTCTGGAAAAGAACATTTTTTGTATGGTCTCCTGTGGACGCAGGTACTTGCGCCCCTATTTCATCACTATTTCTTGCCATACATGTCATAGGTATTGGTCTCTGTTTCATCACTATTTATATCTTATCAAACTTGTCTTTTATTTTATTTTTTGTCATGCATGCCTCCTTTTTACCTTTTTTTCATGCATCTCCTCTCTTTTTTCTTCTTATATATAGGAGAATAGCGCAACATCTCATCTTTATCGGACCTCCTCCGCATTTTCCCTTTTATTTCTTTTATAGCGGACATCCCATCTTTATTGGGTCCTTCTTTTATTTCTTGTCATGCATATCCTTATTTTTTGGGTGTCTCTAGCAAATTTATCTTCAATTTCATGTTCAATCCTGATTTTGCTGAGGTGTTCATCCACAATCTAAACTTGTACCGGTATGAAAAAAGACGGATAATGCATTGTTGATTAACATTACAGCCTAAATAGTATTTTTAAAATTGTTAACAGGAAAAATAACATCATATTCAGATTCTACATATTTTTCTAGTCAAATTCCATATATAACATGTTAAATTTGGAGTTACGATTTAAAAGATATGAGTATTTTAAAAAACATTTAATATGTATTGCGGATTTAATGTCAAAAATATTAGGGGTTTTCTATAAAATAAGAAAACGGATTAAAAATACCTATTTCTTTTATTAGTAGGTATAGATTATAGATTAATAACACTCATCTTTTGCTCGTTAGTTATACCATAATGAGATATATTCTCTTTGTGTTCCCATCGAGAATGATGAGGGTGTAAAAATCATTGTTCCCAAATAGTTCCGGTTGAATCGAAACATGGATGTATGTTCTTGCCAAGGTCTGTGTTGCTCCCTTATAGTTTTCGTACTTGCCCTATCGATGTTTTTCCTTAAACTGGAAACTACAACTTAACTTGATAGGTGCCGCAGCATCTGTGTTTTCGAGTCATAGAACCTGTTCAAACATTGCAAGTTGCGTAACATGTTGGAATTATCTTAACCGCTTATTGACTGAAATCAGTTCTTTTTTAGGGCATCTCCAAAAAGAACACTCAAACCGCCCGCATACAGTCGGATCGTCTTCTTTAGGGTATCTCCAAAGTGAACCCTCAAACCGTCCGGATTGTGCGGTCCGCCAGACGTGTTATGACACCCTACACGAGCATGTATCGATCGGCCGAGCGGTCCGGACGTACTTTTTCGGAGAGCAGACACGTAGGACTCTGACACCTAGCCCATCAAAAATCCCTCTCAGACACCATGCCTTCATCCTTCCATTTTCTCTCGTTGCCTTTTTGTCTCTTGCCTTTGCCGTCACTCCACCACCATTGCACACCCCTGCTGGTACCCGACATGTCCGTCACCTCCAGCTGTACACCCGGGATCCAAGCCGGTTCTTCTCTATTGTCGGGACGAGCCTTTCCTCCGACCACCACTCAGGTACCGTCCGCTCCTACGCTGCTCACCATGCCCGGCAAATATCCGTTGAATTGGCTGAGCTAATTTTTTTGTCCCTTCTTCTTTGAAGCAATGGATTCAGATACATAGTACATATATGAGCACTATGTTGAGTCGTCAGACGGCTTGTCAGACGAGAAGAGCTACACGGATGAGATGGCGATGATGCAGACTGTCCTTGGAGAAGAGGAGCGTGCGGAAGAGCATGTTCTCAATTTCAAGGGATTGATTAAGGATCATCGAGTGCTCAACCGCAATAGGGCGTGCGACCATTTGACATTGATGTCTGGATACTTTGCCCCCCAATGCCCTCTTCGCTGACAATTTCCGCCGCCGGTTTCGGGTGCACAAAATTTTCTTCGATCGTACCATGGGGTCCGGTTCTTTGATGACTACTTCATCTTGAAGAAAGACACCGTGGGAAGGATTGGATTTTCTGGTTATCAGAAGCGCATGGCCGCACCACGGATGCTTGCATATGGCACGACCGCTGATTCGTGGGACGAGTATCTACTGATGTCTGAGAGCACATGTGGAGATGCAATGGTCAGGTTTGCAACTGTCGTGGTCTTGGTGTTTGGACCTCTATACCTGAGAGAACCAAATGGCGCAGACACCGAGAGGCTCTTAGCAATATCGGAAGCAAGTGGGTGGCCAGATTTGCTCGGATCTCTTAACTGCATGCATTGGAAATTAAAGAACTGCCCAAAAGTTCTACAAGGGCAATATCAGGGCCATGTTAAGAAGTCCACCATCATTCTTGAAGCTGTTGCATTACATGAACTTTGGATTTGTCATGTTTTCTTTGGCATACTCGGATCTCACAACGACATCAATATGCTACATCGATCACCATTGTTTGTGAGGCTAATTGGAGGAAAAACTCCTCTTTGCCACTATACTGTCAATGGACATGAGTACAACATGGGTTATTGTCTGATTGACAGTATCTGTCCTCCGTGTGCTACCTTTGTCAACACCATCTCTAACCCAGTTGGCCAGAAAAAGGCTCCCTTTGTCCAAAGACAAGAAGCGGCTAGAAAGGATGTTGAGAAGGCATTTGAAGTCCTGCCGGCACGTTTTGCAGTTGTTCATGGACCAACTAAATAATGGGATGCAGAGACCTTGTGGGAGGTGAAGGCCTGTTGTGTGATTATGCACAACATGATCGTCGAGGATGAGGATGACGTCGCTGCCGTAAGTCTTGAATTTGAGAACGTGGGTGATCCTATCAATCTTCTTGATCAGAATCCGACCACACTTAAAAAATTTGTTAAAAGACATCAACGTATCTGGCATTGAGCAACTCATGAGCAACCCAAGGAAAATCTGATCGAGCATTCATGGACGGTTAAAGAGGGCAATAATATTTGAGCGTAATATTTGAACTTATTTAAGTACAACTACCGCTATATTTGAACATTTGAAATATAAGTCTTATGCTCCTACTCTCTCCACTCCTAAATATAAGTCTTTTTAGAGATTGCAATACGAACTACATACGGATATATATAGACATATTTTAAAATGTAGATTCACTCATTTTGCTCCGTGTGTAGTCCGCATTGGAATCTCTAAAAATACTTATATTTAGGGACCGAGTGAGTATTTAGGAACATAGGGAATACGGAGTGCACATCAATTAATGCGCTACAGTACAAGTTGAGAATGGAATAAAAGCACGCAGCAATCAATCAATCAATCCCGTGCTTATACAACCAACCATTCTTTTGTTTTCCATTTCCAACTTCCTTCTGATGAGATCAGTACAAGGAAGGCTCAATGCTTCTCACTCTATTTTCTTTTTCCAGCGAAATCATCATCAATCATCAAAACAAAAATCCGAGAAATATGGCACAACCATACCATATTACTACTACCACATACTAAATCACACACACACACACACAGACAAACCCTTTTATTGTCGGCAAGCAAGCAGTTGATCATGGTGTAGGTGATGGAATGAAAATCCTGACAACGATCACTGTGGGGTGCACATGGGGGCTCTGCCTGGGAAGCACGCGATGAAGGCGGGAGGGATGTACCCGGTGAAGCTGTTGTAGCAGGTCCAGGCGCTATCTCCAAGGCATTTCAGGTCGCTGATCTCTAGGCCGATGCAGTGGTTCTTGCTGGGCTCCTCCTTATCCTTGGCCAAGCATTCGCCGGCGGCGGTGACGAAGCATGGCGTGAAGGTAAGCTCGTCGGTGACTACATTTTCGGCGAAGCACGCCAGTGCGCCGTCGGCGACGCAGACCATCTCTTCGTTGGTAGTGCTTTATGCGACACACAGATTATCCTGTGTCAGTACTTACTTTTCACGTGCCCTCTCTGAAATGAATGAACTGTAGAAAAGTAGGTACTGACCTTATGCCGACACACAGATTATCCTGCGTCAGCAGCGCCGGCTCCGGCGCCGGCGCCGGTGTGGTGGAGCCGCCTGCTCCGCATATGAGCAGCACTAGGACAATGAGCGACTGCTTGATGATGGCCATCGTCGGGCTTTGGTTTGTTGGGTTGGTTGAAGAGGCTCACTTCTGCATCAGATGAGATATATTTATAGGGGGTAGGAGCAGAGCAGAGGCAGAGCGTAAAGTTTAGATTTTCGTGATTGCGACACAAGCCCAAGCTAAGGGCAACTCCAACGCACGATCCTAAACGGACATTCCTTTCATCCGCTTTTCGTTTGTTTGGGACAGGAAAACGGACACATTCGTCCGCTTGCAGTTGTACTTGAGGCGGTCGGTGCGTTCAACGGGCCAACCGCACCTCAAATGGCCTGCCTCGTCGGACTTGAATTTAAACCAAAAAAACAAAAACATATTAAAAATAACTTAAAACATAAATTTAAACATTCAAACGTCCACATTACCCAAGTTCAGCACATAAACATAAAAAAAATAAAACATAGAAAAAAGATAATGGCCGCTTCATGGCCGCCTTCGTCTTCTGTGCCCCCATGGCCGCTGTTTACTCCTCCTAGTCATCGTCTCGAGTGAGGTCGGCATACGAAGGTGGCTGCCAAAGGTAGGCTGGTGGCCCCTGGCAGACTGGAGGCGCCGGCGGCGCCTCCACTACCTCCTCCCGTGGCTCCTACTCCTGCTCTGGTGACCGCGGCGGCGTGGCTGACCATGGGCCGACACCCATCGAGTCGGCCATCTCCGGCGCCGTGCATGAGCAGCTCCACCGCTGGCCCACCAGACGAGGGTTCCACGCGGCGACGGGCGGCTCCTCCAAGACCTCCTCCTGCACCTCCTCCTTGACGTCGAGGTCCAGCTCCGGGATGGCCACATCGCCGGCCACGGAGAGGGCCAGCGTGGTTTCTAGGCCATGCCATTACCGCTCGTCGCACGTGTTCATGGAGTCCTCCATGATACGCCTCATGAGATGGGCCTCCTCCTCTCGGTCATGGGCGGCGTCGGTGGCAGGGACGGAGACGGAGAAGGCGTTGGCGTGATGCCGTGCACACGCCTACGGCCCCGCATTTGGGGAGGGCTGTCAGCACGAGGAGGACGCGGGTGGCGCGGTCTCGGAGGACGACTGACAGAAAAAGATTGCCGCCGCAGGTCATGCTCGTCGCGGAGCCACATATCCCACAGCGGCGCATCTACGACGTCGTCCAGCAGATCCGATGGCAGGCGGGCGCATCATCAGTTCATCTCCAGGCGGCGGGCGCGCCGCTCACGGGCACTGGAGGGATGGGCACATGGTTGGCAGAGAGATGCCAGTTGTTCAGCAGGTGGACATCTCCCCACGGCAATGGCGTCGCCGTCTCCCAGTAGCGCTAGCAGACGTCGACGTGGATGTACGGCCTGTCCCGATGCCCGGCTGCCGTTAGCGCGATCTCAAAAGCTGGCGGGGCAGGCGGTGCGGGCTAGAGGAGATAGGCCGGCTAGGAAGTGAAAGCTGTGGACTGGCCGGTCCATGGCTTCCAATTTAAGAAGGACGACGACCAAGCGTTGTGTGACTAACAACCGGGGCCCGCCGTGTGAGCGCATTTACTTTGGGCAGTGGACGTAGGTGGACGGTCGCCACGCGTCCCTGAGACAAGCGACGAGCAAGCGCGTGCCCGTCCATTCCACGTCCATGTGGATGCAAACCGGGCTCATGTTTGTGTCGGAAATGGGACGGGCCGTATACCAAACGGGAAAAAATGCGGATGCAGCCGCGCGTTGGGCCGATCCATCCATCCGTTTTGGCCCGAACGGACAACCGGGAATAGTTTGGAGGTTTGCGTTGGAGTTTCCCTAACACTTATAGCTTAGATTTTGGCAAAAGCAACACTACAATAAGCACAAGGAAAAGGAAAAGGAGGCCATACTAGTTTAGATTTGGTTGGTGGAAGCGACTTTAGGCACTCTACGATCGGGTACGGGATCGGGACCCAAAGATGTTGTTGTGCCAAACATAAATTTACGATTGAACAATAAAACCCTCATATAATCCGTCTGAACCGTACAAGTAGGTAGAACCTACCTATCCTAGATAGGGACTAGTGGTTGGGGCGCCACCTAGTGGCGCCTCTTGAGGCGGGATTATACACACTAATCAAGCTAGCGCATTAGTTAACGTCTATGTATGACATGATTCTTACTTCAGCGAGAAGACATGCAGTCCAAAAGAGCGATAGTTGCATGTTGGTTGTTAAAAATACAAGACATGGCAATAGAACTGCAGCAACAAGAGTGTTGATAAAGCAGAGCAAGCATAGAAGTTTCATGCATGCGTATTTCTTTTGGTGATTCTGCAGAGCATAAAATGCCAAATTTAAAGAGTTGGAGAGCACATATATCCTTCGGCATAAAATTCTTGTATTCTTGCAAGTTAGGGATATGATCGACCGGTTGATCTCATATTTCTAAGGTAAGGTTGAGGTGAAGAATGTCCTCAATCGGTGAAAGAGACACCTCTACATACTTGCGAAGCGTAAATCCATCATTGAATTCTTCATCAGTAGGTCATTTCTGTGTTAGCATTTTTAGAAGAACAATGTCATGGCCCATGGTTGAGATTTCACTGCCCATTTCATACTTTGCAACAATGTTTTGAAACATAAATTTCAGCAAACAAAATATGAAACATGCTACCAACTTTAAATACTTGTGCGGTGCGCACGCCTCAGTGTGTGTGCCTCCTGAGACTTCTGATTTCTATGCTTTTCCCAGCAAGCTTGGGAGTTAAAATTTTCTTTACTACACAACTTAATTGTGAAGGTATATGTGAATAAAATGTTATGAAAATTGAGTTAAAACTTCTGATTTCTTTGCCTATTATTTTAGTAAGCTTAAGAGTTAAATCTGCAATAATCTCACAGCAAATATAGGTTATCTGACAGGTCATACACTCGCATAGTAATAGTATGTAAAAAAAGATTGCTAGTCATGGTATGAGAACAAATTATAAAGAAAAAAGATGGACCGCCAAAAATCAAATTACCCGCACTTAACAAATTTGGCAAAATATTCTTTGAAGTCCTCCCTTAAAACTGTTTCCAACTATCAAATTGGACATGAACGGAAGCACACGTTGTATATCAATTAAAACTTAGGATCTCTGATGTCTGAAGTGTAGCAGTCATAATACATATAGCCGGTTAGTACCTGCTATTCGGGTCTTCGGGTTCTTTCTTCACATCTTCAGGAAGTTTGGTAACTCTGATAGACAGCAAACAAGAGATATTGGATAGATGTTGATATATTTTAGCACTGAAACGAGAGTCGAGAGACACACACATACCTCAGCGCCAAGCACATGAGTGTTCGCCGCATAACTGAGCTGGGAAATCTGGCACCTGAACGAGCAAAATGCAAAAGGCACGCTTAAAATTCAGTTTGGCTGAAGAAAGGAACCTCATCAGGGCATGACTTGGCTCTGTCAGAAGCAAGCTGCACGCAATCGCAAGAGAGGACCAGCAGTAGCGCACTTAAATCCAAATGAAGATGCATCAAGAAATAACAACCTTCCGCCCGCCGGGCTCTACGGCCTGCTCGCCCTCCCCTGCCCCAGGCTCTCCGACCGGCTCCTCCATGCCACCCCGTCTAAAAAACAAGTCTTTGATTGTGTTTTGGTTTGATGTCGTGGAGCGCGCGCGAGGTGCTCGACTGATTGATTGTGTCATGCAAGAGTCATGGATCACGATGGTGGGCCAGGTGACACGGTTGTCGCTTTGCATGGGTTCGCTCGGGGGTGGTGCTCCTGTTGTTCTTGTTTTCGCTCCGGTTTATCTTTCCCATGGAGGTAGTTCGTAAGACTGGAGGCGCACCTGTTGAGGCGTTCATGTGCACTCCTATCTTTTCTCAGCACATTGGGCTGCCTTGTTTGATCCCTAGTTCCGCTCGGAGCAATGCTATGCTTCAGATCAGAGCCAAAATATAGATTATGGAAGCAATGGCAGATGCAAATATAACAATAAGATAGAGCAGTACAAATGCAATGCACTCACGCTTTGGACGAAAGAGATACAATAATTAGAAAAGTAGCAGCATAAAAATGATTCACGAAGTAAATTTACAAGCATGCAGATATCAATATTTAGGCATTTCAGAAGTACTTTCATGTTTATACTATTGAAATCTGTATCAGTATGAGTTAAAATAGAAGTAAAGATTGGGTGTTGTCTCTGCATGCATACATGTCTAAAGGAGCAGATTGGGTGTTGTCTTTGCATCCATACATGTCTAAAGGAGTAAAGATTGGGTATGCATATATCACCATCTATATCCATGTCTAAAAGAGCAGATTTTGTAAGGTCTTGAAAACAGAACCATCCTTGGGTGAGCAAATAGGAATCTTCATGGAGAAAAGAAAATTGAGTTTAGAAATAAAGAAAAAGAAATTTACTCATACCATAAAGAGCATTAAGTAACCAAAGGATCATCTCCAAAGAATGACCGAAATACAAAAGTATACATTTTGGGAAATCTCAAAGTTAGGCCAGGCTCTGATTTAGAAGTTTAGTACCTTATAATCTTGAACCCTGATTGTATCAGGTGAAATGAAACAAGGAGAGATGTTTAGTACCTTCTAATCGTGAACCCTGATTGTATTGAGGTTAAATGAAACAAGGAGAATGTTCTCTGGCTTAAGATCCGTGTGATTAAGCTGCAGGTCATGCATAACCGCAGGAGTAAGAAAATTAGAATTTTTATGTATAGGTACAAAATAAGTAAAAACATAGGCACTTAGAACAGGCATGTTCAGACAGAAAGAAACAATTTAGCACACCATGACAAGGTTAGAACAAAACAATAATTTGTCTAATCAACAAACTGCACAATTAAATTGATACTCTCATTATTCCTTTAAAAGGTTAGTAAAGAGAAATAATACAAAGTTAATTCCACACATGGTAAGATTCCATCATTATAACTGAGAGTAAAAAAACGCCTTCTGTTCGATGGCTTCATCTATTAATGAGTTGTTCAATCACTATAAACGCATTTAACATGTGGATACTGATGTAATAGAAATTAACTTTGATGGTCTAATGCAAGCA